TGGAGCTCAGCAGGGGGAGAAAGGAGCGAGCTGCTCTGCCAGGCACTGCCTGTGCAGCAGCTGGTGCGTGACTGGCAGATATTGGCCGTCTGGGCTTTTCATCCGGCACCTTTCATTCACGGGATTTAAAAGAATGAAAAGAGCTCTCTGAGAGAAAGCAGCTAGGGCAGCTGGCGCACAAGAAAAGCAGCTTTCTATCCAGAGAGGAGGATGCTGAATGCACGTTCCCTCCACGCCAGCTACAGGCGCCTTTCCCATGCTCCGTCCAAGCCTTCTCCTGTTACAGCACCATGAGGACTGGCTGGCAGGTGGGGGGCTGAGGGTGGAGGGGGGAGCCAGGGCTTGGGGCTGGGCCTACACTCGCAGAGCCAGAGAAAACCCTGAGCTAGCCAAGGGCTATTTAGTGCTGATGTCTCCTCTCCGGGGCTCAGCTGAACCTTCCAACCATGTGAAACCCTCCCCATCGAGGGGGGTGAGGAGACAGTCCCATAGTGCAAGCTTGTCTCTGTGAGAACGCCAGCCTGGGAAGCAGTGTGGAATCCTCCCCTCCCAGAACCACTGGGGTCCCACCCCTCAGGGGACACCAACAGCTTGCCCCAGATGCTCACTACAGCCACGCCTTTCTGCTTACTTAGGAAAGACATCTGCAGGGTCTTGCTCCAGCTCTGGTTTGAGTCCCTCTTTTCTCCATTTATGGTCCTTCAAAGCTTCCTTATACACAGGCTATCTTTCTTCTGCACTGAGACCTCAATTAGTGTCCCAGGCCCTGCCCAGCTTCACCCTAGTTGCTTTTTTTAAGAGACTTTTGCACTGAGGTGCAAAACGCATAGCTGTCAACATCACTGTAACTACAGAGCGGTCAGAGGGAACATACACACTCCCATCAGCAGGTGATGGGCTTTGGCTGTTGCTCCAGAAGGCAGGGCCTGGCACCCTGCAGCAACATGACACTGGCTGAGCAAGCACAGCACCCAGCACCTTGGGGAAGGCGGTCTGTGATGGGACACCATGTCCACGCACGGCTGTGTGGCACGTTGTGTCCCACAACACACACTCAGCTGAGCTATCTTATCTATCCTGGCAGCCTTAAAGGCCTGTGGGTGTAGAAGGTGTCACCAGTTCCTCTTCTCTTGTCACAGCCTCACTAGGTGACATGGGTGTGAGGCAGGACACACAGGAGCCAGGGCTCAAAGGCAGCAGCCAGGGGTGGGGCAGGAAGCCTTTGCCTTCCCAGCAAGAAGATGCCCCGAGGGAGAAGGCCTATGTGCAGGAGTTCTGGCTACACTTTGGTGCTCCCTTTTCCCCACCCTCCGCCACACGCTACCTGAGGTATCAGGTTCTTGTGGATCCTCTTCAGCTTGGCGCGCTTCCTCCCATTCTTCGTAACGATTGTCTCCTCGTAGAACTCGTGGGCGAGATCCCCATCTTCATCATAATACATGGAGCTGCCGAGAGCAGAGGGGAG